GCACTAAACTCATCAAAAAGGGCACACCTTTTGAGGAGTGAAAGATAAAGAAGTCATAATTGTGATAGGTAAAAGGGAAGGAATTAGGTATATGTGCCAGGACATAAAGATCCGTGATAGCATAACCGTTGGGCAGAAGGTTGGCCAAAGGATTGATTTTACTTGTCTATTTAACGAATTGTAGTTTGGTACTGAGAATGGAAAGACTCAATACCAATGCCAGTGAAGCGTCTGAGAATGTACCAAGTCCATGGTCCGACGTTGGGAATTGTGAGTACCACTATAGCTGAGGGCTTTAGACATGAAACGTCCAACTAAGTCGTCTTGACAACACGACCATTTCTATAAATCGTAAGGACACTGCAACCAAAATAAAGGCTACAATATCTTGGTCTTTATATTAGTTTTTGGAATTTATGCTCCAAAGATGAGGGACGGCACGAGACTATAATGACATTGAGGCGAAACTGAGATCATTCGATTGGAGCCATTGCTGAATAATTTGCATTTTAGACCTCCATTTAGTGTTAGAATTGCTTAGTTTACCTCCAATCGTCAGGTGAAGTGAAACTGTAGCAAAGAAAAATGTTCTCTAGAATGCAGGCTTACAAATTGGCTGGCCGGCTCGTGGAGGACGCATGAAGGTGTGGTCGACCGGTGGGAATCTCGTGAATACAGGATCCGATGCCTGACTCTCACCAGCCCAATTCGATACAGTCACAGACAAGTTGATCCCTCTCTTCTCTGACCCGGCCGTCATCGTCGACTTCGCCGTTGCCAAGTGTCCAGCTGGCCAGATTCGAGCTGCCGAAACAACTGCCGCAAGTTTGATGAGTGGAAGTCTAGAGGTACAGCGCTGGGTTTGACCTGTCAGGAAGCCGCTGCATTTAACAGGGCCAAGATGAATGAGTGACGAGTCTGGCAAAAAGGTGTATTGGGTCAAAGTACGTACAGCTGCTCAAAGACAATAGACAACGATGAAACCTACCAGTTGAGCAGATAAAAGGGCTCCTATAACATACCGAACCCATCATAGGCTTCATTTTAGCTTATGATTGCCATTTAAAGTGGAGTTCGGTGTTGAGTTCTCGACCATCATCAACCGGAGTTTAGCTCAGAACTCACGTATCCAGAGAACATTATTTTGTCGCCCAAAGAAGAAGGTTCCATACAAGACTGGCTATTCTCGGTCCACCCCACCTAAAAGTGGGAAATCGAGGTATCGACGAAATTAGGTCCGAGATTTCATGAAGCCGTATCATTACACATCTTCATGCTGTTTACCATTTTACCGGAGGTACTCATGGTTCAGTGCATTGTGGCGCTATTACGTAAAACAAGCTCTGATGATAGGCATATAGGCCGCTCTACTCGGTCCCTGATTTTAATGTCCTGTCTGCTTGCGAAAAAAGATAGGTTACCTCGAAATGACTAAGAAAAACTAGGAAACTTGGTTGGAAGGCATTGGTGATGTGGTCAAACTGGAAACCGAAGGAGGATTGCCGCATAGAGAAGACTGTGGTATTGTACGAAGTAATCCTCGACTCACCGTTCTGCGACCCCGATGAAACTGTGCTAAGCTTTCGTCTGTACCTTGACAGACATCATCAGAGCAGGTAAAGTATGGATTCCCGCAGTACAGAGGAGAGCATAGCACAATTTCATCGAAGTTGCAGGACTGTGAGCCAAGGGCTCCTTCGCACAATCCAGCAATCTTGACTCAGTAAAATTCCTCCCTCGACTTTCGGTAAGACCAATTCAAAGATTCTTTTCTACCAACTTTTAGTTCAAGGTAGTAAATCGAGTCATACTAACTTATTGGGGGATTCTTTGAAGCCCAGCTTTTTTTTAATTATCTTCTCTCTTGATTTCCAAAGTAAAGAGGAATTTTGAACACTTGCTTTACTTCGTGTTACTTTCAGATATTTTGTTTGGTTTAGGACCATGGTCCAGTTTAGTTATTGAGTAGGTTTATGAGACTACCAGTAAATCAGATATATGAGATGCGTTCAGTTTGTTACGGCAACATAACATACTAGCAAGCCCAAAATATGTTTAAATTGTGAACCCACAAATCCTGATCGAAAGTCACAGTCAAATCTATTACAAAAGCTAAAGTGTGTATTTTACAGGAAAATCAAATCTTCGCTTCAATTTGGAGTTGGTAAAAACGCTTTCAAGCTCGGTAACACTATCTTAAAAGCAATCAAGTCCTTGCTTGCTTCGACCCATCCAATACTAACAACAGGAAATTTTATTCTATTGTTTTCATACTCACTTTACAAGTAACCCTTCACAAATAAGGTTAGCACGCAGGAATTATGATCAGAAAAAAGTTTTGAAGGCTTTACTCATGGAATTGACAAGTTTACTACTGAATGGTATATAATTTATCTACAAACGTAAATTGTATAAACGAACAAGAGGCCAAGATATAGGATTGATTTTATATCCAATTTTGACTCACTTAGG